ATTTATGTTCGTGATACTCATATGCTGCTACTGTTCTATTTGTTTGTCTGTTTCTCATGTACTACTCTCTTTAAAATAAAAAAAAATTAAAAAAAAAAAGTTATGCTTGCCTAGCCTGCAGGAGAACTTGTATATTAAGACTAATTACGTGTCAACAAAAACTTATTACTTAAAAATCTGACTAAACAGCTGTCATAAGGTCTGTAAGAACAGAGGTAAAACTATTTTTCTTAAGTAATAAAATAATAGAATTTGCTAAAGGCCTATTGTCTTAATCTATTGATTTTCCTTGCTCCTAGAAATGAGAATGGACTTACAACACAAATTTTGAATAATAAGCAAAGAAAGAATCCAGGCTACTATAATTAAGATTCTTCCTGACTTTTCAACCTAATTCCAACCAAAACAAGCAATTAAAATTCAAAAAAGTAAACAATCTATAATAATAAAATAATATGCTATGAACTTTTTGTGTTTTTTCCCCAGTGCTGGGGATCAAACCCTGGGCTTCACATAGGTTAGGCAAATGCTCTTTCTTCCTCTGCACTACTCCTCCAGCCCAGCTATCAAAACTGTAAGTACTTTTATTTTAATAGTCAAAACACCTTTTTAAGATCACAGCTCCAATTCCAGGCTGATTCTTGCCCCAAGTGCAGACTGAACGCTGCTTGGCCAACCTCAGAAAGGCATCTACCAGCTGCTGTTTTGGTCCACTGGGATTCACCAAATGGAAGGTCTTGGCCAGGGTTTTCAGTTCAGGAGCAGAAAGGAGTTCAAGGACTTCAGAGAGCTCTTGTAACTCAGATTCTAAAAGAGTTAACAAGAAGAAAAACAAATTAAAACTGTTAAAGAATGTAACTGTTTTCTAGCTTTATGGGGGGGTTGCTTAGCTAGATGAAAATACAATGAAACTTTACCATACAGAGTTTAATAAAATTTGCTGAAACCAAAAACTACTTTGTCAAGAAAAACAAAATTTCTCACTAAAAAGTAAAAGACAATGTGACTACAACAAAGAATACAGCTGGATGTGGTGGCACACGCCTGTAATCCCAGCACTCAGGAGGCTGAGGCAGGAGGATCACTGCAAGTTCAAGACCAGCCTGGGCTACGAAGTGAGCTCAAGGCCAGCCTGAACTAGACCGTTACAAAAAGACAAACAACAACACACAAAAAAAATACAAGAATAGCCAATGGTTTGGGCATCCTGCTTAAAAGCTTACTGGAATATACTTTCCCTGTCTATCTCATCACAAAATCTTCTTCTTTTTTTTTGGTACCGAGAATCAAACTCAGGACCTTGCATTTGCCAGGCAGGCACTTGTACTGCTGAGCTATATCCCTGGCCCATCATCACAAAAACCAATCACCAGCTCGCTTCCCCACGCCCTCTCCCTGCTCATGTGCTACAGGCTGGGAGCCCTTTCATGGGCCGCTCACTCTGCAGCCAGGAGTATGTCTGCCATTATGTGCCCCAGACACCACACTAGGCTCGAGGCATTCGGCTGAGTCAGACCAGGCTGGTCTCTGCCTTCACATATTCTCGGTTCAGAGCAGTGCCCTCTTCCAGGCAAAAAATGTTTACTGGGTGTGCACTGTATTTCCACAGTTCTATGACCCTACACACACCACAGTGAAAAATGTGCCTATCCACAAGGAGTTACCACTGGGGTACATGTGTAACAATTACACATGTCAATCTCCTTTGCTGAGCCAGGAGGAATCTCCAGCCAGCATTTCCCATCTCACCCTCCCTAGCCCTACCCTAACAACTACCCTAAATTCATCTTTACCTACTGTTCCCAACTACAAACTCTACTCCAAAGAAACCATCTGGTCTTATTTGCTGACTTTATCTAAAATACCAACAACCTCAACTCAAAGCTCTCATCATTCATCCTTATACCTAATTTTCCATACAGTATTGTACAGATAGGTACATAACGCTATAATACGACAATGCAGGTATCACTGGGGAAGACAGGAGTCTCCTGTAGTGTTCACAGGGGTTTAAAGCAATGAAACAATTCTCCAGGCAATCAATGTATTAAAGCTTTATGTGTGTGCACATGGAGGTAGACAAAGCTTTTAGAACAATACTGTAAATAAGGCAGTATTGTTAATAAGGCAGCTTTATTCTTCCATGATGATGAGAATCTGAATAAAGTGAATCAAGTTCTTGCTGGAAAAACTAAAGACAGATGTATTTCTTCTGTGGTACAACAGGTGACTTTACGATTGTAAACTTGGGCCAGGCAGGAAAGCAAAGCTAACTCTTCACTATGGTACTTTTAACCCAAGCTATGAATGGCTTTAGCATCACATAAATAATTGATCACCCTAGATTAAAAACTGTTTACAAAAGCAAGGAATTACTATTTTCCAGGCACAGCCCAGGAGATGCCAGCAGCTGTACATCACCATTACTCAGCAGTAACTGACGTCCTCAGGTCACATTTTCATTTCACAGTTCTTTCTCCCAATCATACCTGTCTGCAGAAAGCCCGCAAGGTGCAATTCTTCAATCACAGGTGTTAAGTCTGGCGCGATCTCTTCATATTCTAATTTGTTCATTTTAATCCAGGTTAACTTGCGTTGAAAGAGCCTCACATATAACTTCTGACCACTAGCTACAATAAAATTAACAAAAATGGTGCAAAATATTACCTTTTGCTAAGAAAGCAACATATAGATCCTACTTACTTTTTAACCTGAGGTGAGTACAGACATTCTTAGCAATGCACTTTTTTTCCTTATGCAAAATGATGTCAGTTTATGGTATAAGCATCTAAAAAGTTCCACTTTGGTCACAATTTCTGGTCATTTTAAAACTAAAATCAAGTCCCTTCATTTTCTAGCCAACGTTTCTATTTTCCTCAGAGAAGCTCTACTTTGAATTTTAGTTATTTTGCTCTCTTTTCGTTCAGAATATGTTATTCTACTTGGGTTGAAAAAAATTTTCAAAAAAGTGCCTATCTTTGGTAAGACAATCATTTCTAACTCAGTGATCTATACTAAACTTCTGAATCTGTTCAGTCTAGTTCCTTACTCACCTGAATTATCTTTAAATTTCTGCCAACTCTAAAATGGTGTCATCAAAATATCTAAAAATCTCCAACATTCATGTTCCTGTTTGTTCTTGAAAGAGGCAAAATCAACTAGCAGTAGTTATTTTCACATAAGGACACACTGCATCCAAGTCTCCATGTATAAGAGCGTGCTGAACTTGCACTAGGGAAACTCAGTAATACGGAAACATGGAGTCACCAACTACCCAATCACATGAGTGCAATCAGCACCCAACCAAAGAACTGCAACCCCTCCAGGTAAAGGAGCCCATGTGACACTATTACATCCATATTCCAGGGAGAACAGAAAAGACAAGCTGCGTGGACACGTCACACTCCTGTTTCCAGAGAAGTAGAGTTCACTGGTCAAAAAAATAATACAAGGAGTATCCTAATAATTCTACTGTGTGGATTTAAAACAAATAGTAGTAAAGTTTAGGATTCTTTTTCATTTACTGAGGAGTCAGACATGGCCACCAATGGCATAGCCACCCAGTAAGTGCATCCTATCTTAAAGGGACTCCATTCCACACAAGGGTGGCTTTTTGTTCCCAACTTGCACAGCCTGCCTGGAGCCACCACTGGCTGCCAAGAGTTTGAGGCACAGACCAGTATTTTTAGATGTACCAATAAAAGCTTGAAAGTTTCCATTTCCTCCACAAGCTGACTTGAACAAGCAGAACCCATGAATCTAAAGGATGAGGGTAAGAAAATATGCTGCAAGCTGGCTTGTTTTTCCTGTATTTTATTTTACTTTCATTTTTAAGGAAATGGAGTATGAGAACAACAAAACAACCTAACAGGAAACCTGATTACCTGCTCAATATGCAGAGTTCGTTTTTTGAAGTCATGCTGTTTTTCTATTTGGACAAGGCTGCTTTACTTTACAACCATCAAATTTAAAGGAAAAATGGCTGATCCCATTGTAATTCACATATGCTTACAGGAGCAGACATCAACAGGTACAAAATCGTCTCTTTTACAAACATACCTTTCTTGATACAAACTACCTTAGGATGCTCCTGATTCCCATTAATACTCCCCACAGAGAACTCACAAAACCACAGTGACTCCTTGTGGCCATCAATCACCGCCCATCACATCACACCCAGGACAGGACAGCAAAAGGAAAACACTCCAAAGCAAACAGGCTAAGGTACCTGATAATTGATAGAATTTGTCTATAACTTCCTTATCCTCGTCATCAAAGAGCAGCCTGTCATCTTCGTTCTCCAGTACGGCTTTCAGGACCAGGAGGAAATTGCGTAGGTAATAAGGATGACCTGGTGTTCCAGCTGTGTTACCAGGAACATCACAGCTGGGCCCCGGTTCCACAGGAACGTCGCAGACCACTTCATTCTTTAGGTCTCTGTCATCCTCCAGAAGTTCTTGCACATCCCTCCATTTAGAACCATCATTTACAGAACTAGGAGATTTTGCCTCTGAACCCGACAACAGAGTTTTAACTTCTGAAGCAACGGTGACTTCTACTTCTTCATAACTGCACACCTCACGTTTTTCACCTCGATCATCTACTTCTTTGATACTCTCTGGCTTTACAAGCCCATCTTCTGAAGTGGACTTGAAATTCTCTCCAAGCCTTAAATCTGGTGAAAATCCTGTAAGAGCCTTACCTGACAAGCCAGGGCTGCAGGATACCTTCCTACACTCCTGGATAGCCTTTTGGCTGTCAGCTTCTGTTATTTTACTACTATTTACCATACATTCAGGAGTATTCTCTTCCTTTACCAAGTCACATGTAAAAATGTTTTCCTTTTGAGAACTATTTAAATTTTCATCCTTATCCTCCACTTCTGAACTGTCATCCGCCAGGCTCCTGACAGCTGTGGATACGGAACGCTGCGGACAATGACTAGCAAATTCCTCACTCGTACCTAGGGATCTTTTAGCCTTCATGTACCTTCTGGACAGTTTAGATGACAGGCTTCCCAAAGAAATCATTTTCACATTATGATTTCTCAACTCTTCCTGATTTTTGCACACGACGGCATTATTACTTTTAAAGTAGGGACTGGTCCGTTTCACACCCCCCTCCACCAAACCACTCTGTCCAGCCGTTAAACTTTTCTTTGGCGGCGATGACGTCTCTGGCGTTACACCTTCTAAGGCAACACTGGCCACCTCTGCTGTGGACGCGTCTGAATTCATTAAGCCAAGCCGCGCCGGGCCAACCTGAGTGACATCAGTGACAGCACACATCTCATCAAGATGCTGGCTTAGGTCGTATCTGGGCACCATTTTACCACAAATGGGGCAGGCAAGTTTAGCAGGCGGTGCATTGTTAAAGTATGCAACAATAGACGCACTGCTTTTAGTTTTGCTGGCTGACAAGTTTCTGCGCGGTCTTTTTCTGTCGGGAGACTTCCCTTCTGGCATCGTGAGCGCAGCACTAGGGTAGAAAGTGTAATCCAAGCAGTAACGCCACACAGGCTAAAGTGAAAGGTGGCTTGCTCTTTTGGCTTGAACGAATGAAAAGGAAGAGTCTACGTGATCTCATGTTAATCCTCTGCGCAGTCTCTCCTTCCTGCAAGGTAAAACATCTAGGGGTGTCCAACGCGGAACGGGCCACGTCCCCGACAACGCTGGGCTCGCCGCAGAGCCCCCTGGAAGCCACGTCCGCGCAATCTTTCCGTGTCCCTTCCCTAAAAATGGGCTCGCCGGGCCTGTAAGGGTCACGGAAGCCTTTTTAGATAGAAAAGTGCCGCGTTTTAAGGAGACTAAACGCTGACCAGAGCCTTTTGCATAACTCCCGCTTGGCGGCTTTTTCCAGCCGGACGACGCCCATCTGCGCGCCCCCGCCCGTGACGGCCGCCTCCAGGCCGCGCCTCGCGGACACGCGCGGCTGCAGCGCCGCGGGG